GAGAAATCTAATATTCATACTTTTGTAATAACAGCAATTATTTACGTCTGAAATAAAAAAAAAAAATCATTTATACAATTTTTTGAGGTTTAGCCTAGAAGTGGGTAAGCTTTTAGAGTGATACGAAACTTTGAAAACAAATTGGAAAGATTTATTGAAGATACCATAGTAGAAATCAGGCCAGTACAGTCAATATTTGGCCTAAACCAATGCAATGCCTTTGATAAGTCAGATACTTTGTGAAGAACTCAATCTTCTGGCTTCCAAAAATTACCCATATATTGAATGTTATGCTATTGGGTAAACCTAATGGGAGGTCTTCTGATATCTTGAAACAAAGAACTCTGCTCCCCATATCTTGCCTTGACTAGTATAGCAAGGACTATTTCTATGCACATTACAGTCCTTAATAAAATACTTTTATTTCCAGTTTACCAAGATTCCAGTGGGATGTCATACAATGTATTCTTCCACCATCGTTATCTATTATTTCCTATTACATTTTATGTATTTTACTGTATAATATAACATGGTACAGAGATGCCAAGCCACCACTCACACAAGCTCGAATGTCTACAAATTGATTCTCCAAGACTGTAGTTTCTTAAGCACCTAACAAACAGAAGCAACTTGACTGCAACAAATTGCTGTCATTTTATAATTGCAGAGCTGGTTCACACAATAATTTCTCAGATGTTTCTGCAGACTGCATCCCTACTGAGTCATATTTGTAGGTTCAGAAACATCTTCAGTGACTTTTCTTGTTTTGCTGATTTGTCTGTACAGAATAGTTCTTTTTATTTATTTCATTATGTGTGCTTTGTTTGGTTTGTTTGCCTTTTTTTAATTGTTAATTATTATTAATATCTGACTTCCCAAGGCATTTTGTCAGTGTGGGGAAGTATGACCCCCCCTCAGACTGAAAAGAAGAGAAATAATTGAACTTCCATTGTTTTTATGTGGGATAGTATTATTAGTACCTCTTCAGGTATACAAAGCAAGACAGACAAGACAAACAAGTTCTTACAGAATATCACTTCTGCATTGTCTTTCCATTACTCCAAATGATGTGCAGTATATGATATGAGAGGGAGAGCACTCTACTATTGCTTTAACTTGCACTGTATGAAAACCTCATGTCATCTGGATATCATAGCAGTCCTTAACATGTAATTACATGGGACTAACATTGCTTGATGAAAGAAAACGAAAAAGCTCTTATTTTATTTATAAGCCATCTGCCACAGACCATTATCATTTACTTAGACCCTAAGTTACAGTTTCCATTTTAATAGCTCTGTTAGTGTTTGGGTGGTTTCTATGAAGATTATTCAATAAACATTGTCCAGAAAAAGCTAGATACTTTTAATGCATAATCATCTGGAATGTTTATTAAACAATAACTCTGAAGCTTCTGACATTTTTATTTGTGAGAATGTTACAATGTTATTATGCATCCCACCGGTAAGCCTGCATTACTGAAAACTCCTGTGCAATGTAAGAGATCTTACTGAAAGCAGATGCAGCCAAATTAATAAAAAAGGGCATCGATGCATTATAGAAAGCCATGTAGTTGGAGGGGTGGAATTGGGGAAAAAGCATGCAGAAAAGAATTTTGTTTAATTTTTGAAACAAGTATCTGAAATAAGAAGAAAGAGAAATGTATGGATTTGAAAATCCAAATGCAAAATGTAGATTCACTGTAAAGAGTATTTCATCATGTATTATACGTTTAGTGTTTAAAGCAGAGTCTCTGGACAAATTGAATTAACTTAATTATAGGATGAAAGGGATCTAAAAGGTGACTTCAACCCCTAAAGGTTCTTGAATTTATTTCATGAATAGGTTTCTGCGTGTCACATTTTCTGTGGGGCTACCCTGCAAAGATACTTTTATCACCTGTTAAATGTTATTCCTCTTAACTAATCACAAAGAAAGCTCAGCCTAAGGTTCAGTACACTTAATACAATGTCTTCAAAGAAGAGAAGGTTTCAGATAGAACTCACTGCTTGGCCATAATGAACCTGGTAAATGCTGGTTTCCTGCAATAAAAATAATAGATGAAGTCTTGGCTTATTGAAGTCAATAGGGATTTTGTCATTGATTTTAGTAGGGCCAGTATTGCAACCAATAAATCTCCTGAGCAAACTGAAAGTGGGTGAAGGGAAGAAGGGGAATGGATGTAACAGAGCCTGTACAGTTTACCAGTCCTTGTTCTACCTTCCTTGGCCTGAATAAATAGCTCCTGATACTCCTGAGATGTGCTCACAGAAACTATTGTGGCAGTGTACTGAACACCAAATATTTACAAAAGCATTTGATGAGTAATTCTGAAACGGGAAAATCAGCTTTGTTGTTACAATGAATCAGTCTCAGATTCAATCAGAGGTTGTTTTAGGGGTGAGTAACCAAGGGCAATTGCCCAAGAATGGATACTATGAGCGTGTGTTAGCCTGCAATAGTTAAAAGTACAAGTTGTCCAATATGCCTCAATCTGCACCTGAGTTCTTGCTAGTCAAAACCTGCTGTAGCTCCACACAGCCACAATTAGATTTTTCAAACACAATCCTTTATGTAATGTGAGTAAAACAACAGGGGGGAAAAACAGTAAGAAATGTAATTTTTTTTTCTTTTTATATATTCCTATCTGTGCTTGTTTTTATTGATGTGTGGAAATATCTGATTTCTGATGCATAAGAAGTGTAGCTACCATATTTTTTCATGGGTTTTCCCAGATATCCTGTACACACATGTGCCATGTAACCCATGTTAAACAAAGAAGTTTCAGAAAGCTGCGGACTAACAAATCAAGCACTGTACAACCACATCACAGACATGCTATGTTCCTATCTGGAAACAAAAGACATTGGACGGGAGAAATGTGTGTGTTGGTACCCCATCATGGGCACTACTATGTCTTAAGAGTCCTGTGTTTTGTTAGCAGATAAAAGATGTGGGAGAAATTTGAACTTCATGTTCAGATGTTCCAGTATCTGGACCAGAATATGGAGAATATGGACCATCCAATGTGTGGGGCTTTCATAGAGATTATTTGTAACCAAGAGATAGTTTGAGGGAAAAAAAAAAAAAAAGAAACTGTTTAGAAAACAAGAAGCAAAGGGTTGATAAAAATGCATTATTGAATGTGAAAGAGATATATAAGCAAAATACTTCTGAACATAAAAGGATGGTGTAGAAATGTAGATCTGTAAAATCTCCCTTGAACTAGCATAATATTTATAACACTTATCTCACAGTAATAAACTAAAACAGAGCAGTGAGCTTAGACTGGGGGTGGAAAAAGGTGACATCCATTGAAGAAGTTGTTTTGCAATGCAGTTTTCCTTGGCTGCTAAATCTCATTTTAATACTTATCAGAGTATTCAAGGTAAATTTTCCCTACCACTTAAAACACTGCAAGTTTTCTGCACAGAGTGGTTGCTTGGCAATTCAAGCAAACGTTTTTGTTGTCTGAAACTGTAAGAAATCCACTTTGGTTTTACCAACATGAGTATTAAGTGCTTCTCCAAACTGATGTAAAAAAACAAACAAACAGAACACTAACAACTGTTTATGCAGAAAATATTTTACACTTTGGCAGTGTTCTTTCTCTGTCAAAGTATTTATAAAACTAGTAGGAGGTGCACATAAATAATTAAATTTTGATAAATCATGTGTGAGCTCAGCTGATGTGGCTCATCAGAACATCTAACTGTAGTTACCCCTAAGCACAAGTATGCTTATAGATAAGATGAAAGCAGACTGTCTTATTAATCATACTGTATATTTGACTCCTGCACCTTTCTTCAGCCTTTAGATGAACTCCATGTGGTTCATACTATATAGTTGTGCAGCTTACCTTTCACAATGAAATATGCTTACTGCTGCAGAAGCAGGTCCAATGTGATTGACATGATTAGGTAAAACAGTGGTTGCTTAAGTCTGGAACTGGCTAACCATAAAAAAAAAAGATAAGTCACAGAAAGAAACTGAGGACCAAATCTTCACTGGTTGTCCTTCACTGGCTGGACTCCAACTGATTGCTGTGGAAGGTATTGAAAAAAACTGCTCTGGGCCACCTTTCTTATGTTAATACTTTATGGAGCACACCAAGCAAGATTCCAAAACACTGCTTGTATAAGTAGCAAACAATCTCATTATATTGTAGACTATTCCTGAGTTTCCGGTGTGCTGTTGCTGGGCAAGGACCTAGGTAGCTAGAAGTGGAACGACCCTGCCTATGTTAACTAAAACAAATGGAAACAAAAAGTACCCCTCTCTCTAGAGTGCCCAATTTATTAAGAGAGTCCTAATTCAGATTCTGTTCAACAGGTTGCAAATGAAAACCAAACAGTATCAAGAGAACAAAAGCAAAAGGAACAAAATAGCTTTCTATGTTTTTTTGGTCAAGAACTTCCTTCTTTTATTGCCACTGACAGTGTCTTCATTCCTTTACAATTTGTTGATCACAACTAAACTAAGCTGTGCTCATTGCTGAGTTTGTGAAACTCTTTGTGGGGATCTAACCCAGTAAAAAGTCATATTGATGAAACTGTGAGATAGGAAGAATCCAGGAGAGGTAGGTTAGGATGTGGCAGGATCTCTTCCAGGAAGGACTCAAATGTAAGTTATGATATACAAGTAGTTCCTGACATTTCCCTGTGGTGTGCTTTGCTCTTTTAGGGGTTCACTTGGAACTGTCATTACGTGTCTACCACAGATGTTCACTGCAACCTTAACACAAGTAGAGGAAGGCAAGGCCTGCTCCAGCTCATACCAGCAGGCTGTGATACTTGGAAAAACACTGTGACTCTGTGACTGGAAAGGGCTACACAGATAGTCAGGACCCTACCCCCATAATCACAGGGTCAGCTGAGACTTGGGCTCCCTCTGAAAAGGTTGAAATTTCCCCTTTTGGCAAGAATGCCAGCTATACACCCTGTCACCAGAATGCCTAAATAGGAAAAAATACCACAGCTACAACCCTTTCTCTTTTTCAGCTTGAGAACTACATTGTGGAAAACATGAAATCGGAGATGGTGCAGCTGCAGCAGAATGCTGTGCAGAACCACACGGCCACCATGCTTGAGATAGGGACCAGCCTCCTCAGCCAGACAGCAGAGCAGACAAGAAAACTCACGGATGTTGAAACCCAGGTATGTTCCCAGAGTGGTTTTCTAAAAGCTGTTAATTGCAGAGAGCTTTTATCATCCTCTTCCTATTCTAATGCATCACCACCCATATGTTTCAACACATGCCTCCAAGAAACATACACACTTTGCTTCTTGGTACCAACAGCAGTGATGACTGACCCTTGTTATGTGTCTGCCTTCTGATATCATTTAGCTAGTGTATTTAGCTCTGTGCACATAAAACAGGCAGGACTGTCCAGGAAACTAAATCATCATTTGTCTTCAAATAAACAGCCCGGCTACCAACTGTGAATGATACAAGTGTCAAGCTAAATAAAGAGTTTCAGGCTAAAACAGAGCCTTTGATCTCCATTGTTGTTTGCCTCTTTACTATTACAAGAAAGTTTTTTTATTTTCTGCAAGATGTTTCCAGCTATTTGAAAAGTAGAAAGAAGTTCTTTACTGTGAGGGTGGTGAGGCACTGGAATGGGCTGGACAGGGAGGTTGTGAATTCTCCGTCCCTGGCAGTGTTCAAGGCCAGGCTGGACAGAGCCTTGGGTGACATTGTTTAATGTGAGATGTCCCTGCCCATGACAGGGGGGTTGTAACTAGATGATCTTTAGGTCTGTTCCAACCCTAACTATTCTATGATTCTATTATATATATATATATATATATATATATATGTTTTCCTTATTTTTGCTGCAATACTTACTCTGACTGTCAGCTCAGTGATGGCATTTCCCACCTCCCCTCTTTCAGCAGTATGAGAAAGTCCCTGTAGTCACAGGCTCTACCGTCAATCAGAAAAGAGTGGTGGAGGTGGCTCAAGAAAATGAAAAGAGACTGCTCTTGGTAGTGTTGGAGGTAGCCAGCTGCATGGCAGTGAGGTGTAGGGTACAAGAAGGAGAAAAGCGGGCCAGGATCTCATGCATGTAATGAGGACTCACAGCAGAGTAAGGGGACTCCGAAAGATTGAAGATACAGCCTACATGTCCTTAAATTTCCCTGACCCCTCTTAATCCCTGTCCCATCCAAAATCCCATGGATTCCCTTTAGGCTTTCTTCTCTACCTGAAGCTTTACTGCGGTTTTGTAGGCTACTCCACAGAGGTATCCCCTTTTGAAATCTGTTGGTGGTTTCCTGTCTTCTTGCTAGCCTCTGTAATACACTTTCAATTTCTGCCATGCCCTTCTGAAACTGTGGTGCTGCCTCCTGTCATTAACAGATGTATCCATCTTGAAAAAAAATAACAGCTTTGCACAATGTCCAATTTTTTCAACCTCTGCACCCTTAAACAAAACCAGCCAAAGTTGCTTTGTGAACTTGTGCAATTTCCAACAAAACAGGGCACTGGGCTGAGTTTGAGAGCCATTCTCTTTGCTTTATGTTCTGTAACAAGTTCTTATCAGGCATGCATGAGAAAATACTACCATATAATCCTATGATGATATTGATACATATCCAAGAAAGGTCTGATAGGTTCCATTAAAGAGGCAGCATTTTAAGTTCCAGAAGTGATTGCGTCTCAGTTGTTGTCTGCACACATTCCTAAAAAAACTGTTAACACCCTCTGCTTCAGCCTCTATTTAATGAATGACAAATGCCAATAAAATCAGCTAACATTAACATTGCTGCTTTCATTCTTGAAAGCATTCTGTTATTTCTGCTTTTGAACTATTTTTTGTTAGAATCTATTCTCTTCTAGTTAAAAGGCCTCTTTCAGTCTGATGTACTTAGTAAAATGGGCTGTTGATACAGACCACCACTAAAGTGAAAGACGATTGCATAAGGCAATGTTTTAGGATCACAGCCCGCATCTTAAAAATCTGTGTAAGAGTGCAAGTTGTGATAACATAAGCAGACACCAGACTTCTGCCAACACGGCAAAAGAGAGAACTCAGGGGAAAGCTAAAATAGGAGCTCTCTTTACAAAATAGCGGATGCAACACTTTGGCTGAGGTCCAAGTACTCTTGCACCCTTCTGTTTGAAGCATGCTTTGTAGGAATTCATGTTTGAGGCATGCCTCATGTTCTTTCCATTGAAATGAAGTTTGTTTGGCAATCACCTTTCCTTTTTCTGCCGGTCTAGTATTATTCTACAGTAAACAGGGTGCCAGAATATCAGCTGGTACATATCAGTGTAGCTTGGGTGAGTTCATTTGCACCAGTTGAGCAGCTGAGGTTATAAAAGGATTTAGAAACAATTTTTGATGAATCATCAAATCAGAATGAAATTGTTGCATTATGTTGCTATAGAAACAGAACCAGGACAATATAAACACTAATGTTTTTAATTTATCCTTAAGGTGCTAAATCAAACATCCAGACTTGAAATTCAGCTACTAGAAAATTCACTGTCAACATACAAGCTAGAAAAACAGCTGCTACAACAAACACATGAAATCCTGAAAATTCATGAGAAAAACAGGTAAAAATGAGTAGTTGGTGTCTTCCATTTTTCTCTGTTCATCACAAAGTTGTCTGTGTGTACTTTGTTCTAAGAGACTGATGAAAAGAAAGATGCAAATATGGTAAGTGGAAAGTATAGGTAATATTTACAAAATGGCTAAAAGTGCTAGGGTGTGAACTTTCACTGTGTTAGCTCATGTATGCTAAGTGTAAGTTGATTTTTACTACTTTTCCTGTGAACTGTAAGTTTACAACTCAGTTTGCTTCTTCACAACTTAGTCACATGGGCACAGTTCCTCCCACTGAAAAGCATAAAGATAACTTGTAGGAGCATTTTCAGGTAGAAAAATATTAATAATAAATTATTATATTATCAACTACCTAAAAGTTCATCTTTCTAATTTTAATTGATACAAGGAAGGATCTTTCTCTGTGGACTTATTTGTATATAACATACTTGGAGCCATGCTTCATTTAAAGAATAAAGAATAAGTGAATGGTAAATGTTTGGGGTTTATGTTGAAATTGAAGAAAAAAACTGTTTAGCAGAGCATAACTGCTTAAGCAGTGAAGTGAGAGTCAAGAAGAATTTCCAGTGTTGACTCTTTGTCTGCTTCAGAAAAGTATGTCTCCTGCAGAGAGAGCACCTCACTTAGAGGTGCTTCTGTAACACAGGACTCAGTACCTTCTGGATTTAGCAATCCAGCATCTCAGTGTGATGTATTGACCTTGTCTGGCTGCCAGTTCCCCACCCAGCTACTCTCTTGCTCCCCTTCATCAACAGGACAGAGGGAGAAAATATGATAAAAAACCCTGTGGTCAAAATAAAGACAGGGAGATCACCTACCAGGTAATGCCATGGGAAAAAGAAAAGTCTTTGTTTATTGCCAATTAATAACAGCATAGGATAACTAGAAATAACAAAACCGAAAAGACCTTTCCCCCATACCTCCTCTTCTTCCCAGGCTCAGATTCACTCCTGGCTCTTCTGCCGCCCTGCCTTTGAGCAATGCAATTGCTCAAAGTTGGATGAAGAATGAGGGTTGTGGTCAGTTCACCTGATCCTTCCTCTTGCACTTTCCCTTCTCCATGGGAAAGGGAAAGCATGGTTCTTTCCCATGGACTGCAGTCCTTCATTTCTTCAATGTGGGCTCTTCACAAGCTGAAGCTTCCTTCTGGAATCTCCACCTGCTCCTCTGCGAAGTCATCCATGGGAAGTATCTGCTCCACTATGGTCTCTCCATGGGCTGCAGTGGAACCTCCTTCTCCTTCTCTGACCTTCGTGTCTGCCACATTTTTTCTTTCACTATTGTCCCTCACTTCTCAAAGCTGTCATTTAGTGTTTTTACCCTTTCTTAAATGTGTTTTCTTCAAGGCACAATCATCTTGGCAGACAGGCTCAGCTGTGTTTCATGGTTGGATAGTGATGAAAAATAGAAAATATTGTTAATGTTTTTGCTAGATCTGTCTAGTTGCAAAGTTAGTCAAATAATATACCATTTTTGCTACTGGTTATGAAAACCAATTTGATGTATTTAACAACTGTTTATAACCAGTAATTCCAGCAGATGTCATTCTGGAGAAGTTGGATTACATTGAAAAGTCTTGAACTCCACAAATTTCTCTTGACCAGCTGGAAATATGAACAAATTAGTGCAGAATTAACTTCAGACATCTCAAAATTAAGGAATTCACCTGAAGTGCATATATGGGCTCTTCTGGTACTCCACTAAAAGGGTAGGCATGTGTAAGCGGCAGTTCATTCTGCATATTTTAAAAACCTATTTCAATTTAGGATTAGCCCAAGCATTAGTTAAGTATATAAATACTTGCATTTTTATCTTCTGCAATCTAGTTAGCAACAAAATTTTATTGGGTGCTCAAGAGACTGTCTTGTGTACTTAATAATCTGAAATTATTTATTTATCTTAGCAATGTGTCAGGGTGTAAAACCTTCATGTCAGTAAACAAGTTTTACTTAAGTTGACCTTTGACTTGGCTGATATTATGATGAAATGGTCTATGACATGACAAAATGGTCTGCTTTGTTTTTTCAGAAGAAAAGGAGGGATATGTTAAAAAGCACATTTTATACGCAATTCTTTCTCTCAGAAACAAATTTGTATGTGAATGAATGAAAAAGCACATGGAGTTTCGTCTTGTTCTGAAGCAAGTACCTGGCATGCATTTCCAGGCTTTATAGTCCCTCTTTGAAAATTATAAAATTAAGGAAAGGTCAGTGCTATGATTCCACTAAAATGTGGATAGTCGGCTTCTGTATCATCATCTACTCCTAACAAAGAAATGCTTAGACTCGGCCTTGTAGGTCCTGATCCTGAAATCAATTATATGTGTATCAAGTTCACTATGGGACACGTCTTGGTGACCTCAGCAGATTTCAGGTTTCTGAGCATGCCAATGATTTTAGCTTTAGTTTTAGTTTGACTTAGCTTTGAGCGGTACTTATAGATTACCCATCAGGCTATGTTCAGTAGTTATTTGCAATTTAAATGCCTTTGTCCTTCTCCATATCACTTTCACATCAATAAAAGAGAGAAAACTTTTATCCACATTGCCTGCGTGGACTGTAAGTGTGTTTGGAGGGGGCCTTTCTTTTGCAGTAGGTGCATGCCACAGTGGGAATGAGTGTAGGAAATGTTATCATCACAAAAATAATCACAAGAGATGGTGTAGAGATAATTTCTTTCTTTGTGCTAAAATAAAAACAATTGCTACCAAAAAATGGATTTTGGATAAAAGTAATGCAAAATATTACAGTAATAATAGCTGATCGTTGATGTACCACAGTACATTAAAGAAAATGAACACTGCATATCAACAAGAGACAAACACATGATCTTTAGAGAAAGAGATATATCTATTCTTGGCCTTTCTCTTTACTTCCTGCCTCTGCTGGGAAGAGTGGCCAATTTTTTTTTCTATTTATCCCACTGAAGTGAAAGATATTCCATGGCATAAGTACAGTCACATTTTCCCCAGAATCATGTTTTTATTAAGTGCTTTCATGCCATAAATAACTTAGTTTTGTGGATTCCCACCCACTATAATGTAAATGGTAGTTTCATCCACTCCAGTTTTTTCTCCCACAAGAGCTTTCTAAAAACTATTTTGATTTATTCTTGAAAGATTCCCCGGCTAACGTTCCTTTATCACCCCCTCTTTTTTCCCATAGTGTACCCTCTACATTTAACTTACTGTGTGCCATTTGTTTCAATATACAAGTGTGAGTATCAACTTCTTATTTACTCATATGAAACAAATAAGAAAAAATATAATGGAATTCTGGATCTTCCAGCAATTTATAGTGGAAGTGAAATTTAAATATAAAATTTGACTTAAATTTGCAGGCAATCAAACTACATTAACACATTCAATACAGGAACTGTTGTGTCCTGTGAAAAGTGAAGGCTCAATGATTCTTGAATTTCCACCTGACTGTGTGAAAGATGGAGAAATATGGTACTTATGATCAGTTTCATTTGAAGGTTTCACATGTACTAAAAAAATAAATTCTTTTTTTTTTTTCTTTTTGATTTCAATGGTATTAACACTGGTATCAAAAAAAAATAGGCTTACTGCGCTAAGTGACCAGTTACTGGCCTTGAGGAATATGGCGACACATATTTTTTCAATTCCTTAAACTCATAAGAGAATATCAGACCACCAAAGTAAGAATGAGTGGTCAGCACCTAAAAATATAGGGAAAATTTTACTTATGTAAAAGGAAATACAAAGAAGCTGTCTCAATGAGAAAATAGCATTCTTGAACTCAAAAATAAGCATTTAAATTCTCTACCTTTTTTGTCTTCTATACATAATATGAAAACCACATGTATAAAGCCAAAGAATTTTTTTCTACATTAGTTATTTCTGTTGAATTGCTCAACAAAATAAGTGGTTTAATCTATACTTTTAATAAATCCAGATTTTTTAAGAGATTATATTCATACAAAAGTTGTCCATCTCCAAGATCTGGTCTGTATCCTGTTCTCACGTATCTAAACTGAGGCCTCTGAAAACAAAGATAAAAAAATCCCTTAAACTGCTGTGGTCTGGAATGGATTAGTGAGTACACTATCTACCTTATAAGGCAGATTGTCTAAACCAGACTTTCCTTCCTCCCCAGAGAGCTACCAGAGTGCTTTCTATGAGCTCTACTTCATCACCTTTCAGAAAGACAACAGCTTTCCCTGGAAATCATTCTTTGACTTCTGTATGGGCCTTCTACCCTCTCCAACATTATCAGAAGTCTTTTTCTGAATCAGCTGGACATGGCACAGTTGCACCCAGGCATCCTACTGGTTTATATCCTAACAAACTTAACACATCATTTGTATGGTTGAAAATAGATTCTTAGCCTTGCCAAAATCAGTAGGTTAGACACTGAGATATGGTTAACCTTTAGCAAAACTAAGGTTGTCTTTGCCTTGGGGGTGTGTGTGTGCATGTTTGGTTTTAATTTACCTGTCTTCTAGATAATGACTCCAAAGAGTCATTGTCCAGCAGATAATGCTGGTATTTATCCATGCTAACAACAGCATCTGTTTCTTCACAACTTCATTCTGTTCCCCAGATGACCAATTTTTTTCCCCAAATTGGAGGCTGCAATTCTAAAAAAAATGCACATTCATACCTGTATGTACATGTGTGTATATATACCTACACACATATGTATATATATGATATTTCTAGTCAATGGTGATTTACTTTTATTGTGAGTATTGTAGTGCCCATGACTACTTCATCTGTCTAGGTCAGCAACTATCTTAAAACATTTATGACTTTCAAATATATAGGAAATAAATAGGAATTTCAAAGGTATAGGAAGCATAGAGCAAACTTACTGTAAAAAAGAACCAGTTGTTGGATCATGCCCATAACATTTGACTGGAACCTGTCATGAAAGAATGTTATATAACATATTTAGTCAGCCTTTACATATTGTTGGATTAATTGGTATAGAGGCAGCCTTCTTTTCATTTTCTTTAACATTTTATGGCAGCAACGGTCACTGATGAAAATTAGTAGAAATATTTGCATTTTATCCTTGTCTTTAAAATGTCTCTTTTAAAAAATGGGAAGATATCTTTCCCAGTCACTCAGCAAAGTTATTTCTTCATTGTATTTGTCTATTGGAAATTGTCCACTGTCACAAGCAAAAAAGAGAGAACAGACTGCTCTTTCAACTGTTAAAAAAATATTATAATAAAAGATTTTTTTATGAGGTTTCTAGCACTTTTTTATTTCAAATGAGCTACAATAAATTTGAATGGAACTACAGAGATTAAAAATTCTGGCCACATTGGAATCAAATCTCATAAGAGCAGCTTTTCTCATGCTGTTAAAGGATTTCTTCCTTTTGAACAGGCTAATTCAGAAATCCTGTATTTTTGTGCAGTATTTGTTTTTCTTAATTTAGAGCTTTGACCAAAACTTTCTCACTGATTCCTAGTAAAATACAACGAATGTTTTCTATTTCTCCCAGGGAGTGGTCCTACCCTCAGGACTTACTCCTATCTGTTGTAGATTTATGGATATAGAAAGATCATTGCATAAATGCATATGCATTCCTTTAAATAGCTTTGTTTTTATAACAACACAATTTTAAAATCACAAAGAAAACTGTAAAAGAACCAAGTGCTATGACACTACCAACTTTCCACCACATGTTGACACACCACTCATAAATATTAGGATGTATTATTACTAAAGCTGTAAAAGATCTGCTTGCTGTCTGTCTCTGTAGATGGCATGCCAGGAGGCACTAAAGATTGTTGTCTTCTTGCACCTTTTAATTGGCATGGTCAGTATTGCTACAAGACTGTCATCACCATGGGTTCATTTACTATGGTCTTAGGAAGGCCACGGTGGGAAACAAATAATGAAATGCACTAATTGTGGCTATCAAAGGCTCTTTCTTTTACATGGAAACATTAAGGTATGGAAATCATTTAAATGTGAACATACAAATAGGATGTCGTAGAATTAGGAAAATGACTTGCACTATACTAGGATCCACAAAAAGGTAAAGGGACCTTTTTTGTCTTCACTTAGCATTTAACTGTAAAGCATAATCTGACTTCAAGAAGTATCTGTATCTTCTCTTACATTAGCAAAGCATAACATTTTTGATGAACTGTAAGATGTCAGACTGGGATGTGGTCGTACCTAGCATCCATTTTATCACAAACTGTGTCCAGGGTCTACCTAGTTCTTAATCAAAGTGAATTGATATACAACTTATAGTCTATCAGCAAAGTTAAACGCAAGTCAAAACAGCATTTCAATAACTCCTGTGAAATAAATGTACAGAACTGATAAAATTCACCTAGAACATTTTTTTTAACAATATTTTATGACTACAACTAATTCCATCAGAACATTTTCAGCAGATTCTAACTAAACAATTAGTCTGACCTTCTGCATAAAAAAGGCTCAAAGACTTCCATAGAAATTTTCTCAAAAAATAGATGTGAGTGTAGAGCATAAAGACATTATGTTTAGTGTTAGACTTCAAGCAATGAATAAAAATCAGCTAAAGGTCTGATAAGGTGTTAAAATAATTTGTTGTCTTTGGCTTCAAAATCCACACTTTGTTTCAGACTGAAACTTTCTGTCATTTGATTCCTGTCCACTGACTCTTGATATGCTTCTTACTAATTATTGAGCCTTTAAAAATGAGATATCATGTTTCCCTTTGCATCTGGGACACCACAAAAAGAATGTGTTCCCTTCCCATCTTTTCTTTTTCTCCTTCTTTACCCAGAGCCTGCTGACTTTCACAGAACTAGGTATGTTGGTATTACAAAGTATATTTTCTTCAGTGTCTTTGTAAGTCCCGTATTTATAACGTTTCAGAAGAAAGATTTGCTGCTTGGTTTCTTTTATTTAGAAAAAGAAAGAAAAAAAATATATATTACTCTATGTTGTACAGCAAATCCAAGGCCTGAATTTAATCTTTGCATTGTTATCATTTGTAACAGCTCATGTTAAGGTTCTGTGATATCTAGTAAAAAAAGTACCTCCATATGGATTTGATTACGTTCTTCAGTTAGGTTACATGACCTGAAATTATGCAGGCATTTTGCCACTGATCTGTTATCCAGGAGTAAAAACAAAGGTGGGGGGAGAGTGCAAATAAATAAATAAAACCAAAGACTGACTTAAACAGGAAGTAGTTTGTTGGCAACTTTGTAACCCCCAGTTGGTTTATGGGCATGAGAAACACCTCTTGGTGCATAGTGTAGTATTACAAAACAGAAAGCAACAGAGGGATTGAATTACTTTCTTTATCTAATATTAACAAATTATTTATGCTAAGATCCCACCACAGGATTAAAGCACTGGCCTGAAAAAACTTCTTTTTGCTGTTGACATATATTAGATATCCTTTATGTACAGCTCCTCTATTCTTCTACATATAATCTGACATGTCTTGGATCTTTGTAAATTGCTCACTTCCGACTCAGGACAGAGAGCATACTGGAAAAAGAATACTGCTCAGGAGAAAGTGTTTCCATACATGTGTAAAATTATTTATAAAAAATGATGTAAGCAGGTTGCATATTATGATATCCAACAGTTTCTTGTATGAGGAGGATTTTGTGGAACCAGAAAAGTGAAGGGGTGGAGGGAAGTGAGCAGGAGAATATGTATGTGGACTCAAGGGAAAGAAGTGAAACCTATCTTAAAAGGCAAGCTTCTGATTTATCTTTTGTGGAAACAGTACTATATTTCATGTGAAACAGATACCACTAATCTGGTACATAATTCTTTTCCTAACATTACAGACCACATCAAATGGTATTGTTATTGTGGGTTCCATATCTCTTGATGTTACTCCATAGCTCCTAATGCTTACCTTCCATCTAGTGGCAAGGCCCTTCACAAAATCTTCCTTAGTTTACACTTTATTTCTATCTCTTATCATATCAGTCTACCCCTACTACCAATGATGTCCCCTTCAATGCCTTTCTCTTCTCTTTCTTTTGCCTACCATAGACTTTTTTGCCTGAAGTTGTACATACAGATGTGTTATTGGCCCTATGCTCATGTACTTGGATGGGTGTAACAACTGGACATGGAACCTGAGAGATCAGTTACATTTGGCTACTTGACAGAGAAAATCTAAGTTAGCCCACTAATTCAGTGGGCTGAATTAGTAGATGTGACATTTTTAGAATAAATGATGTATTTACTGAAGTCTATGGTGAAAAATAAAATAGTTTTGTTTTCTCAATAAAAATATTGTCATGAAATAATATCTACTAATTGTTTTATTTCATTTTAGTTTACTTGAGCACAGAATTTTAGAAATGGAAGAAAAACATAGAGAGGAACTGGACACTTTGAAGGAAGAAAAAGAGAACCTACAGAGCTTGGTCACACGACAAAGCTACATAATCCAGGAACTAGAGAAGCAGTTAAACAAGGCAACAAGCAATAATAGTGTCCTTCAGAAACAACAGCTTGAACTGATGGATACAGTTCACACTTTGATCACTCTTTGTTCTAAGGAAGGAGGTAAGAAAGAAGCTTTATAAATATTAGAAGTTCTGGCAAATTTCCTCTAGAGTAAGTCCTGAATTTTTGAAAAAGCAAAACTTAATGAGCTTATTCTAAGAAAGAGAAGGACAATTTAACTGAGAACAAAATAGCTGATGAGAACCCACAAATCAAATAAGGTTTGAACAATGCTAAGGCTGACCCTTGTACTAACAGCAGTATTTCATTTATTTTTTTAATTTAATATCACTGAGTTGTTAAAACTTGACCATAGTTGATGTAGGCCATAATTGTATTGACTTCACGTTAGCAATACTGATTTGTTGCTCTGACCATCTCCTTTTGCTAGGGGTAATCCAACCAACCTTGGATGTTTATAGATGCCTATATCTAATTAACTCTAGACTTCCTTTACCATCAATGGAGAGAACAGGGTACTAAACAAAGGAAAGTAATGCAGAACTTTATACCTATGTATAAAGGTTATGATGCTGATGAACATGAATGTAGGCACTTATGGAGCTGGAGACATTCAAAAGATTGATTTCTTCTCTTGAATGAGATTTTATTTATAATAAGGGATCATCTTTCTTCCTTCTGCCTTGCTGGGCTTTTTTTTTTCTGGGTGCATTAAGCACATTAAAACACAAAAAATAGAAATAACACCCTTGGAAAAAGAGATTGACAAAAACTCTAGTGCAATTCTCAAGTCTGCCTTTTTTTAATAAGCAGTTTTCTTACAGAGACTAAGGTAAGATAGCAATTTTCAAATGCTAAAGACAATGTAGAATGTCTCTGGAAATAAATTCCTTTCATCAGAACTGGTCAAGGGAAATGGATGAACAGAGACTACTGTAAAGGATGAAAATGGGACACTGGAAAGAACAAATTAGTAACCACAGAAAACAAGACAAAATCATACAGAAGAGAGGAAAGAAGAAACGTAAGGGAGAATATAAGAGAAAAGGCATATACTAAAAATAGCAGCTAAAAGGGGATTAACAGCTGTGCCTGGTATAGCAAGCAGAGGGTTAAGAATACTGGGGGAAAGAAAGTTAAGGAAATAAATTAATATCCATCTGGGTGGGAGAAAGCCAGCAAAACCCTTCTGATAAAGGAACCTAGAGAGAAACTAGAGATGTGTGAGCTGTGCTAGTCATTCAGTGAATGTGGAAGCATGGATGAAAGAGGTGTATGCAAGGTTAAGTACCAGCAGTGCGAAGAGACCAGCATATTTGCTCATTGCAATTCTAGAGCTTTAAGTGCCATAAATTATCTAAAAAATGAAAAGGAAAAAAACAAACCCAAACAAAGCCCTCAAAAAACAGCCCTGTCCCCCCAGTCAAAACCTCATCACCTGCATCATTATTGAATACTCTGTTTAAAAGGCAGAAGACATATTAGGTCATTCAAACTATTTACCTCAAGGCAGTGTGGGTTTGCTCTCTACTATATATTCCCATGCAACTTGTGTGGCTTAAATCTAAACTGCTCCAGTGTTGAGGATTATATCTCTTTCTTTGGAACTGTTGCAAGATTGAGCCTGTGTTGATAGAACGCTTCTTTTTAAAAAACCTTTTTCCTCCCCCATGTTCATTCTAAGCGTTCCCTTCTGCTTATTCTGTTATATAGTTGCCCAGCATTTTGAATTAAATAACATCCTTCATAGTAGGCTGTTCTCATATCAATAGAGAAACATTGTGATGCAATGCAAATCCTTTATTATGTTTTACAGTCTTCTGGCAAAGAAACCTGGCAAAGCTGTGTTCAGAGTGTTCTAATAGAGCTCAGGAGTACTTTAAAATTAATATCGAAATGAAAGATATATTATTCCCATACAGGGATATACTGCAAGTTCTTTTTAAGGTTAGGAAGATTTTCTGACAGTTTTGAATTTGACTCAAAGAAAAAAAAACCCAAACAAACCAACATTTTTCCTAAACTTTATATCCTCAGCTGCTTCTTATAAAAACTTTGGGTGAGGATACAGAAGTAGATGTTTCCAATTGGGCTCCTGGGTATAAATTCAGGTACCTGGAAACCAGAATTTTACTTCTAAGGAGCTGTGGACGCAAGAGAAGATGCTAGACGAAGTCAAATTCCTAATTATAATTTTAATGGTCTAACTAAACCTCTTTAATTTGGACTCCATTACCTTTTGTATATTATTGTGTTCAGAATTTTCCTTGGATATCTTTTATTTGAAGAGAAATAATTGCAGATATGTTTCCACTTACTGTCTGTGAAAAAGGAACCAGGAAGCTTAAATTAAAATGATAATATTATGCTGGAGCAAAAGATGACTCTATATGAAAAGCATTTGGTTGTACCAAAAATTAATCAGCTTCAGTTTGTGCAAAAATATGCTGATGATGTAAAAGTATGCATGCTGGGAAGTACCTTGGAGCTACTCTAAATTTGCACAAAAACATCAATTTTAGATAGTCTTACACAAGTCTTTATGTGTGAACTAATGTTCCAAACATAAAATATGCTGTGAGAACTGGTATTTATTGGGAGATAGAGAATAACAAAATGTGATACATAAATCAGTGACACCCCTTCTGCCTCATACATATATCATAAAGAATATAGCAGAAATAGAAATGGTCCAGAAAAGAATAAGATAATGGAAATAACTAGAGACCTTGAACGATTTCCGTATGAGGAGAGAAAGCCGTAACATACAGAACTATTAGATGGGAAAGAAGGTATGTGGGATGCTGCCATGGAAGAATGCAAACTAATAGCAGGGAGAAAAGGAGCAGTCTAAAATAGAGTTATATTTTCTGTTGATAAAAAATAGTATTTGGTTGCTAGATATCACTGGATGTGATAAAGATTTTTGAATTCTTAGAAAGCTAAAGAGCTAGCAAAGGATAGATCCCCTAGAAACATCAGGATTTTAATTAGGGCCACTTATCTTTGAAAAGAAGCATAATCTAAGCAGGGCATCAAGTCTAGAAAACCAGATTGTCAATGGTGAGTAAATTCCTAAGGGTAAACACAAGAGTTGAGAGGAATTGCAAAGTACATCTAAATCCCATGGTATTTTGAGAATGGCTTTAAGAACCTTTGTTGTATTTTTCAACCATAAATTGAAAATTTATTCCTACAACATAATTTTCATGCTCAGGGTGGGGACCTTATAACAGTCTTCCAATACCTGAAGAGGGACTGCAAGAAATCTGGGGAGGAGCTTTTTACAAGGGCATGCAGTGACAGAACAAGGGGGAATGGTTTTAAGCTTACAGAGGGGAGATTTGAATTAGGCATTAGGAAAGAATACTTCACTATAAGGGTGCTGAAGCACTGGCACATCTTGCCCAGAAAAGTTGTGGCTGCCCCATGTCTGGCAGTGTTCAAGGCCAGGTTGAATGCAGTGTTGAGAACCTGGTCTAGTGGAAGGTGTCCCTGCCCATGGCAGGGGGGTTAGAACTGGATGATCTTTAAGGTCTTTTCCAACCCAACCCATTCTATGATTCTGTGATATATTGAAAATTATTACCTATATCAAAAAAATCTAAAAAAACCTCCCCAAGAGAAGTAAAGCGACAGGAAAATTATGTTGCTTAAGTCATAGAACTCAGGATTTTCCAATTAGTGAAGCAGAAATGACTGTTTTTTTAAACTATTTTTTATAAAATGGTAATAACACAGCTACACAACTTCATTTTATACCAACCTGGTTGTAACTATTGCTTTTTGATTACAAAACATGAGATAAATTTCATCCAGTAATGTCATAATTGCATCAGAAAATTTATTTTTACATTAATTTAGATAATTTGGGAAGCATTCAGAAGTTTGCCTGCTAGCAGCCTGTGAATAGCATAGCTGAACATGCAGAAGCACAGGACTAAACAGAAACTGCTTTTTAGTTTTACACTCTGAGGAGCTCCCAACACTGGATAACAACCCTAAGAATTTTTTTTCAGTACTTCTACCATGGCTAGGCAAACTTCAAGAGAATTTCTGAAGGATATAAAGGCAAATAAAGAAGAAAGAAGAAAAGTAGAAGCCATACAAAGGATAATTCTTTCAAGTATAGGCAGACATAAATATAAAATCCAGATCCCATTTTCAGTGTCAGTTTTGGTGCAGACCAGCACTGGTATGGGGACCACCTGTAAAACTTGGAATTGTTTGTCAGTTTGGTTTCCAAAATACCACCCACTTCTGTCCCAGCATGAGTGATTCTAGGATTTCAGTTGCACGTAATCCTTAAAATAGACCCTCTAATTGGTCAGAAAACCTACAGAGAGTCCAATATATACACGACACCATGGGGACTCACATGTCTCCATTTTGGCCTGTGTCTATGGCTTAATAGATTTGTCACAGTGTCTTTGTACTTTTTAGGCAGAAGCAACAATCTTGGCAGTGGTTGCCAATAAATTTCTACAATGTAATTTTTAAAAGGCAGTACTTTCAGACACTAGTTTCCCAAATGAAATGATTGCTCAGTACGGTGAAAATCTAAAGTAGCTTCTTAAAGATTAAGTAAACTCCAAATTCAAATGTATGGAAACACCTGAAAGTTTTACTTTCCCCAGCAAAAGATGGAAAATAGAAACATTGAGGTGAAGGCTTAATTAACCACCAAAGAAATATTCCAAGACTAAAAGTCCTTCCCCTGTAGCATGTAAGAGTTGGATACCAATCACATTAGTCTTTGCAAAGGTCAGCAAAGATTTTGTGATTATTGTTTTATTTAAACTATTCATTCCTCATACTACTTTGTGTGTCGTTTTTCTGAGTATGGATAAGACATTTTAGCACAGTACTGTCACTGTCAAACAATAAATCTGTAACACAGTAAATAGTTTAGTGACAGACTTTTTAAGTTTATGCATCAGAAAAATTACTTATGAAAAGGATAAGTAGAGCTAAGTAGAAAGTTTCACAAACGTTACTAAAACCCCCCAAACCACCCAAGCAACCAAAAATAAAAGCCAACCCAAAACAAAACAAACAAAAAACGCCAAAACAACTCAACCCCCAAGTACTACGAATTA